CCATAATTCTTAGTTTTCTCAGGATCCCCATTAGATTGACAGCACCCTCATCCAGCAGGAAGTAGTATGAGAAGCTACACCCAAATTCCCAAAATATTGTTTATGAATGTTTATTTTTATTTAAAGTAGGTTGATTATAAATGCAATATCTTTCTAAAGAAGAAAAGGAATAGTGTAGATATAATAGAATGAAAGGGTAGATTAATGAACTTACTTTTAAAGAGCAACAACTTGTTTAGAAATGTTTTACATTGCTATGAATTTTAGTTTATTGATACAAGTTTAAACTTAATTTTGTTATACTGTATATATATTTCTACTCTCATTGGAGGTATTTTGTTTATGTAACTCACTTAGATTGTAATGGATAATTTAAAAATACAGGTTAATAATTAGTCTCATATGATAGTCAAACTTATAGTCAAGTTTTCTAGGTATACATAGATATAATTCAATTTGGTAGGTAATCTTCAAACACTTAAAGACCTACAGAATATGGCATTTAAAATGTTTTTAAAATTTAGACTTTCTGGACAGTGAGACACATCTGCTCCTGGCAGCACTGATTTACTTCAGAGAGGAAGATGGGCATCCAAGACACTCAATATGGAGTTTATCTTCTTCTTCTTGGCAAAAATAGCCATGTGGGCAAGAAACTGTTCTTGCCTGGACAGCTTGATTGACTGGAAATGCAGGATCCATAGGAAGGTGACAACTGAACTTTGCTTGGCAAAATGGTCCTTCAGGTTCCTGTTTCACAGAGGAAACTGCTAGACATTCTCCAGGACACAGAGAGAAGTAACTGAGAGACTATATAGTCCTGTGGGCTGAAGACAGATACCCCAACTTTACAGGGGAACTTTGGATGACTGTCCAGGCTGCCAGATATCTCTGTCTATTCTTGTAAGACTCCCAAAAGTTGCTCTTGTCCTTCTCTTGTTTCTCAGGTAATATTATATCCTTCTGAGGTCTTTGATGTAGTTGAAGACTAGATAGTTATAATTTCCTTAATTATCATAAAAGATAAGTTAGATATAAAAACCTTAGACTCACAAACACAGGATAGATAGGATATCTTCTTTAATTTTGCCAAATACAAATAAACTATATATTATAAATAGACTAGATATTGTAACTATAATTCTTGCTTGATAATTGTTTTGTTATATGTAATCTTTGTTAAAGTTAAAACCTGTTTTTTTGAAAAAAAAAAAAGAAAAGGGAAAGTACTATGGATATCACTCTGTATACTGTGAATGTGTTGCTCTGATGTGGTTGATAAATAAAATGCTGATTGGCCAGTAACCAGGCAGGAAGTATAGTATAGGTGGGACAAGCAGAGAAGAGAATTCTGGGAACTGGAAGGCTGAGTCAGGAGTCACCAGCCAGACACAGAGGAAGCAAGATGTGAAAGTACTGGTAAGCCACAAGCCACATGGCAACTTACAGATGAATAGAAATGGGTTAATTTAAGATATAATATTAGATAGCAAGAAGCTTGCCATGGCCATATAGTTTATAAGTAATATAAGTCTCTGTGTGTTTACTTGAGTCTGAGTGGCTGCAGGAGCTGAGTGAACACAGGAAAACTTTAGCTACAATTGTCTTCTTCAGATACTTATTATTTAATGGGTTAAATATTGACTTTCTGTTCACTAGATTCATTATCAAACTACAGAGTGAGAATATCACATTCATTACAGTCAAATAGATTTCCACTGAAATTCAGCTCAATCAGTATCTACCCTGTAAGATGATTTGTTCAGGCTATTTTCCATATGTAGAGTTGAAGATAAATCCTATATGTAGCCTCTGAATTGAGGCGATAGATGAGAGAGAGGCTACCACAATGACTGATATGTGGCATAAGCAATAATTTATGAGATAATTTCCAGCAGTTCATTATTTTCTCACCATTCTGAAATAACACCTTCACTATGAGGTCTGTGCAATTGGGGTCACCTTCTGCTCTTTCCAGCTTCCAGTACAGATTTTAATTTCATGGCTGAGGTTTGGGCTTTACTGTTGTATTTCTCTTATCTAAGTTCATCTTTTAACCTCATCTAGTTCTTTTTTTTCTTCTGATATTAATTCTTGTTTCTCAGATGCTGTTCTCATTTATAGCAATCTGAAGGTTATTTTTCACAGTTTCCTTCTCTTTCTAGCATTTAATGCATGTTAAGTGTGCCTTTCTAAGATCTAAAGGGCTGATTACTGGAAAGAGTGTTAAAATATATAACCTACTAGGCTGCCACGGAGAAGAACATGGAATGAGAGACCAGAGGTCGCCAAAACCTGACACGTTTTAGTTCATGCATTTGAGCTGAGTGAGGAGGAAATGCTAGGAAGAGGAGCTGGAGAAGGAAGAGCGAGCTAACTGTGAAGATGACGAGACTCACCCCATTTGCTCAAGGAAGCCTGTGAGGCTGTCAGAGAGAACAACAGCAAAACGTGAAAATGAGACTACCTGCATGGGCATGCGATGGGGTTGTGGAGAGGAATGGTATGTTCTGACTTCTGTTTAAGTAGCATCACTGGCATCTAAGATGGGAACAGAACCTGGAAGCAAGGATAGCGATGAGACCATTTCAAGCTGTCACAGTGAACCCTAAGTGTTATCATGGGGGATTGCAGCAAAGTGCTCAGTTGGGTGGTCAGAACAAATGAGGCTTTGGACACATGCTGCGGGTGAGACCAAGTTACTTGCTAACACATCCTAGCATTCCACATTTTGTTTATCAGTTAGCCTTCTCTGTGAGGAAACCGAAGGGGAGGCAAGGGGAGGGGAGGGTCAGGAATTGGAGGGGAAGGGAGAGTCTCCCAAACAACGTGGAGAATAAATGAATTGCATACAGGGAAAGATCCTTATTTAAGATACCAGTTTTTAATATCTCCTCCCATTTAGTCAAATTTTCCTTTTAATTATTCAGTTGTCTAATCTGTACCTTCCTTGATGTCAATGAGTTCATTATAAATGCTGATGAACACTAGACACTAGCAGATGGGCAACATGTAACATAATAGGAGAGAAGGCTCCTGTCTCAGCTCTACCATTTCCATACTGTTTGCCTAGGAAACTTCCTGGCATGAAGAAAGTAATTACTAAACCACTATTGTAAAATTTGCTCATAACCTAATTAGGCAGATTAACAATCTAGAACATCTGTTTACAAGTGTTTAAGCATGTAATCATGGGCACTTGGCCTTCACAGTGCCTCTATCTTGGGGAATCATACCCAGGTACTTTTGCTTTCAAAACCTTCTTTATAGAACAAAGATGGCTCCCAATGGGGACTTACTTTCTTTTTTTCTATCAAAAATATTATGTTTATCTCCAAGCCATATTGTGTGGGTTGTTGACCCACATCTGCCATTCTACTGGGAAGGTTGTCATCATAGAAAAGGTCAGCATCATAGATATCCTTCTACCAAGGACAACACAAAGCTTGTCTCTAAGTTTAAAAACTACTATTAAGTATCATGAAGAGAAGATATGACTGTGTGTGGTGAGACAGTCTTCAGCATCTTACACTCAACATTCTACTCTTTCCTCTGCACCTTTTGTTTAAAATTAATCAGAGTGGCTCCTGTAAGGCCTGGCCTATGTGTTGCAATGAGTAACTTCTCTGAGGGAAGCAGTCAATGCAATTCCATATCGCGTGACCTTAACTTGAAATCTCTTCTTGCATCGCTTCAGCAACTCACTTCTGGTTTTGCAGTCATTCCACAAGATATTCCTTATGGTATGGGAAGCAATGATGATTGAAACGACATCTTGTCTGGACCTGTCAGCTTTATTAATCCATCAAATATCCCCATATATTTCTTTATGGAAATAACAATTGGTTGTGGAACAATAAAGAACACAGAAAGTCTATGTATGTTTTCCTGAAGACGATATGATTATATTGTATAATGTGCCTCCAGAAAAATGGTGAGTAATGAAAATATATCAAGGAAAGAGCAGCAATTGAGATGAAATGAATTTAAAACAAACTTAATAGTATGTTAAAATTTGTGCACATGGAAATTTGCTTCTTTAGTCCATAGAAGTTAGAGTGAAAGAAAGGGAAGAAAGAAAGAAAGAAAGAAAGAAAGAAAGAAAGAAAGAAAGAAAGAAAGAAAGAAAGAAAGAAAGAAAGAAAGAAAGAAAGAAAGAAGTGCTGTGGGATAATGCTTTTGTATACTGGTTTAATAAAATGCTAATTGGCCAGTAGCCAGGCAGGAAGTATAGGCAGAATAAGCAGACAAGGAGAATTCTGGGAAGAGGAAGGCTGAGTCAGGAGATGTCAGCCCACCATCTAGGGAGCAGCATGTAATGGCACACAGGTAAAGCCATAGAACATGTGGTGACGTATAGATTAAAAGGAATGGGCTGAGTTTAAGTGTAGGAGCTAGTCAGTGGTAGGCCTGAGCTAATGGCCAAGCAGTTATAATTAATATAAGCTTCTGTGTGTTTACTTGGGTCTGAGCAGCTGCAGACTGGGTATGACCCAGGAAATCTTCTAACTACAAATGGAGCCAAAACATGGCAAGAGTTTCCACCTAAAACCTGAGAAAGCTTTAAAAAAAACAGACAAACAAACAAGACTGCAGGCTGCAGCTGGCCTGAGAGAGACAACTAGGAAGCTGTTTTTAGCTCTGTTTTAGAATCTTTTTTTGTTTGTTTGTCCATATGGAGTTTATCTTCTTCTTGGCAAAAATAGCCATTTAGACAAGAAACTGTTCTTGCCTGGACTGCTGATAAAATGTTGTATGAACTGGACATGCAGGACCCATAGGAAGGTGACCACTGAACTTTGCAAGACAAGATGGTCCTTCAGGTTCCTGCTTCACAGAAGAAACTGCCAGACATTCTACAGGACACAGAGAAAAGAGACTGAGAGATTCTAGGCCTGTGGGCTGAAGAACGGATGCCCCAATGGTGCAGAAGAACTTTGGGTAACTGTCTAGGCAGCTAGTTGTCTCTGTCATTCTAGATTTTTGGAAGTTGCTTACAATGCTCTTCCTGTTTACTGAAGTAATATTATATCCTTCTGGGGTCTTTGATGTAGTTGAAGACTTGAGAGTTATAATTATAATTTTCTCTGGCTATGATAAAAGATAAATTAGATATGAAACTTTAGACTTACAAATATAGGATAGATAGAATATTTTCTTTAATTTTACAAAATACAAATAGACTAGATATTGTAACTGTAATTCTTGCTTGATAGATGTAATTTTACTATGTTAAAGTTAAAACTTTCCTTTTTAATTAAACAGAAAAGGGAAAATGCTGTGGAATAATGCTTTTGTACACTGTTTTAATAAAATGCTGATTGGCCAGTAGCCAGGCAGGAAGAACAGGCAGGATAAGCAGACAAAGAGAATTCTGGGAAGAGGAAGACTAAGTCAGGAGATGCCAGTCTAGAGAGCAGCATGTAATGGCACACAGGTAAAGCCACAGAATATGTGGTGACATATAGATTAAAAGAAATGGGTTGAGTTTAAGTGTAAGAGCTAGTCAGTAGTAATCCTGAGCTAATGGCCAAGCAGTTATAATTAAAATAAGCCTCTGTGCTTTTACTTGGGTTTGAATGGCTGCAGACTGGGCAGGACACAGGAAAACTTCTAACTACAAAGAAAGAGAGAGAGAGAGAGAGAGAGAGAGAGAGAGAGAGA